CCGCTGGTTTTGCAACCGAGAGGGCCGGAATTTGTTGTTTTTAATGGAAACTTGGCTTCGGCTGTTACATAACGGCGGGGCTGGAGCCCCGGGCCTGGGCCTGGGCCTGGGCCTGGGCCTGGGCCTGGGCCTGGGCCGCGCCAAAGCGCCGCGAATGCAGGCACCCGTGAGAGGGGGCCGGGGCACCACGCGTGCTTCTCAGTGCCATTTTCCCGGTCTTTGAGTTGGTACAGAACGCCCCCCCGCCCCAAAACTGTACACTGATGGGTCTGGTGCCTGCTTTGTGATTGTTTTCAAGAGCAACTGCTGATGATGTAACTGCCAAGTATTAAAATCCAGGATATTCACAGATTTTACGCTAATCCTGATCTAGGCGCAAGATGCTGGCTTAGACTCTTCGCTCAGGCCCCGTGGTTTTCACGTGAGCGTGTTGTCATTCAGCGCATCGCATACTCCAACACCGCGTCTGGAGTCTGTTCCCATGGATGAAGCTGATGCTTCAAGCAGTTACCGCCGAGCACACACGCTTTTTTGAATAAAAGCAGGACTATTGCTACTCCTACCTACGAATTCCGACACTGCCATCACCCCTGCCTACCTGGGGCACTTCTGTAGTGGCTCACGCAAGGCTGACCAGGCTGACCAGGGATGGTTTCAAACCAGCACACACAAAAACCACAGGACCAGCAGCTTGGTGTTACCCACTGGGGAGCTCCAGTGCCTCGTTGCATGCAGAAAACCATGGGAAAAGGGCCTGAAACTCTCTCCCAGCTGTGCCAGGCAGTGTTCCTTGGTCAGCTCTAGAGGTTTGCTCTTCCCAAAACATGAATGAGGATGACTTGGCCTTCAGCCCAAGCCATAGTCTGACTCGCAGGATAGTCTGGCTGCAGACATGTTCCTATATTCAGATTATTTGGAGCAGGCTGGCAGCAATTCTATCATAGCATCTTAGAATCATTTAGGTTGGAAACTTTAAGATCATCAAGTCCAACTGTTAAACTAACACTGCCATCCCACCACTAAACCATGTCCCTAAGCACCTTGTCTGCCCGTCTTTTAAATGCCTCCAGGGATGGGGACTCGACCACTTCCTTGGGCAGTCCATTCCAATGCTTGACAACCCTTTCAGTGAAAAAAATTTTCCCTAATGTCCAGCCTAAACCTGCTCTGGCACAACTCGAGAACATTTCCCCTCATCCTATCACGAGTTACCTCGCAGAAGAGGCCAACACCCACCTCACTACAACCTCCTTTCAGGTAGTTGTAGAGGTTGTAGTTGTCAGACAGTTGTATCTGGCTTCATGGAGTGGGGAGAAGAGGGAAGTTGCATTATCCTGGCCCGCGAGTTTTCTCACGTTAGAGAGATGAGCAAAGCTGACAACTTCCCGTTTTTAAAAGCACATTGCAAAAAGGACAGCGGTTGCAGGTCAGGCCTGAGTGTCATGCAAAGATCCTAAGTAACCAGTACGACAGCAGAGACCTATGAAGATGTGCATCAGGGCATCAGCAGCATGCTTTACTTTTAAGGAGAGACCACTGCAACATGATGGTGACTGCAGAATAATCAAGTCACTATTTCCCCCCCCCGCAATGTCTGTGCAAAAAAAAAAAAGCACAATTTATTGAATGATGCACCACTTCACATACTTAGTTTACCAAAAGAGTGGTCATTTGCCACAAAGCAAGAGACACCCATCAAAATGCTTTTTTTTTTTTTTCCTTGCTTATGTTGTTTGACTGCATTGTCCTATGCTTCACTAAGACCAGCATTTGCTTTCTTACACAACAAAACACAGCCTAGAGCAAACTACACTTTGTCTTCTTTGGAAATACTACTCTGCTGGAATTGTTCGTTTATAGCATCTTTTCCATAGAAGTAGCTGGATGTGTCCTGGCTTGTGCAGCTTGCTCGTAAATCTGATGAACTGCTACACTTAGGAAATACATGCTTCTGTTTCAAGAGTAAAGATCTTAATCTAAGTATTCATGCACTCCTTCCAAAAGCTGGGAGTAAAAACGAGCATACGCTTGGCCGAGAGCTACTGTTTGGTGAAGCCATGAAAACCAGCATGGAAAGTTAACTGAGGAAATAGATAAAGGAAATCCAAACAAGAAGCACCTCAGTTGAGAAGGTTTCTAAATCCCTACGGGTCCCTCCAGATGCAAAACTTCACAGGCCTTCAAGCTGCGCAAGCTTATGTTCTTTAAAACTGTATGAATAAACCCTATTGCTTCATCTCAAAAGAGAGCAATTGCTCATATACTTTGCAATGCAGAAGTATTAGAACTGTTTCCACATGCAGAAAAAACAAAAAAAATGAAATAAAGAATAAATCTAAAATGCAGAAAAGATTGGACATATGGAAGAGCTGACAGGTTCAGATCAAAGGTCCTGAAACAGCTGCTGCTGCAGAGCCCGACAAGTCTCTGCAGAGCCTCCGGCAGGACGGCTCTTCCCTCCGCAGCAAGCGGAGAAACTACCAACTGGCTGCTTATAAGCACTTTTACTCCCTGTTGCAACAGCCTGAAAAAGAGCCAGGCTAACAGCAGGCACTTTCACAGTTTTTCCAGGAATTCCCCAAATGTTTTCAAATTTGTTTGCTAACATTTTTTTTTTTTTTTTTTTTTTTAAATGTTGTCCTCCTTAGGTTCCATCCCAGGTTAGAGGGGGGCTTTCTGGCTTACAGGCCTGTTCCCGTGGTTTCCCTTTTATCAAAATCTTTGCAGACAACCCCAAAAGCACTCCTAGAGCAGCTCCATCATTTAATAAATTTCACAGTATTCTTTGTTTGGGTTTTTTTGGGTTTTGCTAAGCTCAAACAGAACTTCAAGATGAATCGCTCTGCAGTTCCTGAATAGCCACAGGTGCTAAGTCCAGCCAAGGAGGTGCTCTGCCACTGCTCAGACAGGAGGAGCAGCAAGCAGAGGGCATCTGGCTCCCCTGTATACCTAAGGTGGATTAACCCAATGGTTGAGCACTCTGACCCAGGCAAGGGACACAAATCAATGACTCGTTGCATCAGAGATAAGAAAAGAAGCCACCCGCTGCCAAACTGAAGTCACTGAAAGGAGAGACGTGTGAATTTTCAAGGAAATCAGCTGAAAGGTGGGGCTTACCACAGCGATCTCTGATAACCAGATTCCGGCCTTCCTTCAGGTGGATGGTCAGGAGGTAGGCAAAGGGGCTGGGCAGGTCACTCAAGCAATCGCTTGCTTCCTCTAGAGCCTAAGGAGAACAAAGAAATCAGTCACCGCTGGACAACTCCTGAAGCGGACCATGAACAAAACAGGTGTTCTCTTGATTTTGCAGAGACAAAGTTCTCATCTTTCCTTAGGGCAATCTTTTACAGAAAGGAAGAAAAAAACAAAAAGATTTCTTTCCCAGGCTTTGTTTCATTCTGCAAATAGCTAATTATCAGCATCAGGTACATTCAACAAAGCAAGGGGTAACACAAGGAGGGTTATATCTGAAAATGAGTGGTAATATTAACAATCACAAACGCACGCACAGGTTTTCCAAATCCTACCAACTTACTGTATTGTTGGGGTTTTTTAATAGCTATTTATCGCGCATTCATAGAATATCTCAAGCTGGAAGGGACCCATAAGGATCATCGAGTCCATTCGCACTCATCGGATGATCTCAAGAGGAAGTACACGTTTTCACGTAGCTACTGAGAGGACAGCATTTCTGTATACAGTTCTAAGAAGAGAGAAATACAGCAGTGGGCAATGCTGGCTGCGAGGTTTTGCAGTAGGGAACTCAAGGGGATCTTTGTTCATCAGAGGGGCTGCCAGGGTTACGCCCCTCAGCGGCAGCAGCATCCAGCTGGCACGTTCAGTGAAAACAGCCTCTGGCCAGCGCTTGCGAGGTTATCAGAGGGCAAAGGTAGAGAAATTCATCCCGAATAGGCAAATATGCTTTATGGGAGAAGAGCACGTGTCAAAACTGCCAATGCCTTTTTGTGCTGCCTTTAGGCTGGTTTTGTTGTCCATCAAGCCCTCCAGCCATGTTAAGACATTTGCTGTCTTTGTTTTAATCCAGTTTGTTCCTAGGCCACTGGTTGAGTATTTATGCTCATGCTTTCATCAGATACCAATACAACATCGAAATTACAGAATACTTCAGAAAAAATCCAGAAATTTGTGTCTGTTTAAAACATTAGCAACTGCTTTGCACTACAAAAAAGAACCAAAAGCCAACCAAAAAAAAAAAAAAAACCAAAACAAAAAAACCCCAACACACACACAGAACCACCACTAAATAAACAAAAAAAACCTAACAAACAAAAAAAACCTCACTGGAGAGATCTATAGAAGGCTTCTTCACCTCCTGGGTTTTTAAATTTGTAAGCAAAGAACCTAAACCTAAAATAAATTGTGCTTCTGATCACGTTTCAAAATACTTTAAAACAGAAGGACTTACCATCTGATCATCAAAAATTTGAGACGACATGGAAGAGTCTAGATCCATTTCTCCACATGGGTACTATAAAAAAAAAAAAGATGCAATGAATTAGACAACAGTAACATAGGAATCAAGAAAATACTCCTACAGTCAAGTCAAGAAAGTACTTGTACGTATGTGTAACCAGTTAAATTCTTTTACTTCTGCTTATAGAACATTCCCCTCCATAATTTAGATGTAGCTTTCTTTTTCCTGTTTTACAGTAACTTCACTTAATCTCAAGTTTAATCTAAAAAAATAAGCGCCTGCTTCCAGCTACTGGAATAAATTCTTTTCCTCCCCAGTAGAGACCTGTGCTTTCAGTGCCAAAGGTCCTTACCACAAACTCTCCTGAGGCCTGGAGGTTACTGCTCCTGGTGACTTACCAGTCAGCGTTGCAATGCTGACCCCTATTCCCAAGCAGAATTCTATTTGTTGAATCTCCAAGTGTCCTCCCTAAAATGAAATAAAAAATGCCAGAAGTGGTAGTAGCAGCAGCAATATCCTGGGGTTAGAGAACCTGCTGCTCTCATTTGACTATGATTTCTCCTTCATCACCCACCAGGCAAGGTCCAGGAAAAGTTTTCTTTTGTTTGTTTTCCAAAAAAAAAAAAAAGAAAAAAAAAATGCTCAGGGGAAAAGTTAGAAAGAAATGGTCAAAGGGAAAGGGAAAAAAACATGTTGGGTATGTACTTCACCCCCCCCCCCAGCTTTCCGCAGTAACTGGAAGATCCAAACCATTTTTTTCTAGTGCCCAGCATAGGAGAGGAAGTCAAACATTTCTTCCTAAATACTGACTCATCCAAAAACTTGAGGCTATGGTGGCACGGTGTCTAGACTGTCTGGACACGCAGAAGGGATTCATTGGTCAAGACAACTCTGATGCTGTTTTGACTGCTAGAAAAGTCTACGATCATCATTCAAGCTGAAGAGGACCTACGTGCCTGAGCAACTCTTTTGGTCTAAAGCAGGGCAATCACAGCCCATTCAAATACAAAGATTTATGTCAGAATAACCTCAGTCTACAGAAATGCACACAAGGTGGAATTCGATCCTCATGTGAAAATGTTCTTACGTGCAGCGTGGTAACATCCAAATCTCTCTGATGAGAGCTGCATTATGTGGAGCACTATATGGACATGAAAAAAAAGAACCAGCTCCTGCACCAAAGGTCATAAATCTTAGAGATATTGATATGCTGAAAGAAATATAAATACGCTTTTGTGTTATTCTCCTCCTCGCCCCAAATACATATATTACATATCAGGAAGTACAGTAATCCAGCACTGCAAGTAAAATTTCACTTGCGTGACAGACAAAATTTAACATTATGGTTCCCACAGTACTCGTAACTTGGCCACCTTGCAAAAACACATTAAAAGTAGAAAAATTATCATCATAAAGAGCAGCAGAAGAGTTTTCTCACACAACAGAGCTGAGTTACAGCTGCTAGGGGAACCCTAACTTTGAATTTCCTGACTAGTATGCATAAAATCTCACTTGCGTGCATTAAGCCTAGTATTTCTCATAGTCTCTGGCTTCACAGGAATCTCCTTCAGGCATCATCATTGGCACTGATAATGGTTTCTCTTTACAGCTTGTTTTACATGGCATAAACACAGAATCAAAGAGCTGTATTGAAATTGTAATGATAAGAGAGTACCCTCTCTGCTAGCTTGATATCGTTTATGATAAAGTTACCCTCAAAGTTATGATCTTGTCTTTATTCTATTTGTTTACTTTCATTACATCAACAGATTTTGAACAAAAATTACAATTTTGAATATAAGAGCCTTTCTTTTTCATTTTAGCACCATATAATGTAAATTGCTATTATTCTAGGTAGCTAATTGCAATAAGATCACTGAATATAGACTGCTGAAAATATGGTCCTGAAATCCTGATTTTTATCTAACTAGAGTAACGCTTCTGAACTTTAAAGTAAAACCAAATGTGGCCACATCCACCAAGCAGGTCATAGTCCCAAATATATCTGTGTAAAAACAAATCAAACAAGAGTATATATACATGAAAAAAAAAATATTTAAAAAAAAAATCAATTAAATATTCCTCCTCTATCTCCTGTTGTTTTCTGCGGAAGAATGATTCAAAACACAAGGGCACCGAGTGCATCAGCAATGGGACGAGGCTTCAGGTTGACTGTGACTCACTGCAAGGTCTTAGTAAGAAGATGAAGAAATGGTGTTAGAGCACTTGAGCAATGACGTGTGACCACGGACAAAACCCAACCGCAAAAAAGGGGCATTAATGGCGCCCTTCGCAACCTGAATCAATCAGGGAGGGGTTCAATGCAACTTCAGTTGCTTCTTCACCTTTCAAATCTGCCTCACTGGGCTGCAATAGTGAACAGATAAAGTAAATCTCTTAGCAAATGGAAATATGGAGCCTGCGGCAAGAGCCTTTACAGAAGACGGCACGCTCCGAGCACTGACAGCTCTGTACTGAGAGTTTAGACAAGTGTAAAAACCACAAGCCCACACTGAGCTCGTGCACGAGGCTCGGAAAGCATCTGATGATATTGGGTGACCAAAGATAATCAGGAAATGAGGAGGTGGCATGTGACAAGCAATTCAGGGGGAAAAAACCTCAACCTACATTTTTGCTTTTTTTAGTTTGTTTTGTTCCAGGGATCTGCCTTCCTTCTGATTTACCTCACTGATCAGTGAATGACGCTCACAAAAGAACGATGCGAGCTGTTGTCGTGCTCCTCACAGCCACCCCACCCAGTATTAGGAGACCAAAAACCTCTGCAGTAAACTGCACATGGAGTACAAATTTTGTAGCTGTTCAATGAAGTACATGAAAAGCGGAATATTGAGGGGTTTACCGAATTCAACTTAAAAATAATTAAATTTATTCAATATTCCCTATCTATTTCTACTTTTCTTTGCTTCGCTCTCTGCTATGTATTCTTTAGGGAAAAAAATAATCTCTTTCTGTATTTAAAAGTTGTAATTGGAGGCAGATTACAGGAAGGAAGGCAGGATATTCACATAGCGAGATGATTTGGTACAAAAGTAAGTACTAAATTATTTACACACACAAGGTACATATACAAATACACAATTTGGGCAAGATTTCAATGCTGCAGAGAATAAGCCAGACTCAGACTGTGAAGTCTGGAGGAATCCTGAAGTTAAGCTGTTCCATCACTATACAGGTACGTCCTTCTCCTAAAGCACTTTGTTTGCCCAAAGTCAAAGCAGGATTTAGGATTAACTTCAGTGCTGCTACAGTAAATTTTAGGTTAGAGTTTCTGGTTTACAATAGCAGGAAAGAACTGCTGTTATCATTAAGACAACCTGGAAAAACTTGTAAAATAATAACATTTCATAATGTCCAATCTATCACATACCAAGTGAGTCACTACAACTTTTGAGTAAAGTTTAAGCACAGAAACAAAACAATATATTTTTTTATCTATTTTTCTTATGCAAACCTCTGAATAATGGTACACTCCAGTGAGTTAAAGCCAGTGTGTTAACAATTAAACTGGGAGTGATGGTGGGTAACTACCAGTCTGATACTCTGCATCACAACAGACGAGGGCTAACCCTAAGTTAATAAGAATACGCAGTCCTTCAAGATGCAAAACAAGCAGATTTTTATCAGAAAGGACCATTTTCCCCATAGTAGCACTAACCACCATTTTGAGCATGCAGTTAAAAAATGTTAATTAGCCTGTGATCACCACTCCCAAAGGAGGACTTTAAACCAAAAATGTACGTTTTCCATTTTTGCATCTCGGATGACTGAGGAAAGCAGCTATCATAACTGCAACACCTAGGTTAGGGGGGAAAAAGGCCTCAAAACAAAAGTTCAAAATCTAACCTTCCCAGTGGAAGCTCAACAGAAGGAGATTCGCTTCCACAAAACACAAAACAAATTTTGCCTAAAATGTTTCATGCAGCCACAATCTTCACCTGCTGTCTATATTACAAAGCCATCATCCAACTCCACAGGATTCCCCACTTTGCTCAGGCCAGGCAGGAATTACTGTTTCATCCCAGGTTTGAAGGACATTGGACTCAGATCCTCCTGTTCATGGGACAGTTTGTCCAGCCACAGAAATACTGACCACAAAGGTGGGGGGAAAGGGAAGGAGGAGGACAAGACAGGGAACACAGAGAAAACGTTTTGATTTTGCACCTCCTCTAATTAATCAGAACGCAAACCCAAAGGACAGCCCACGACGTGATGCTACACGTTCACTGTGCTCCATCACGTGATGGTTTTGGTTAATTCCAGGTACAGGCAAGAGTTCACCATGCTCACCTCTTTCACCTCTTGCCTTCAGCTGGATTTTGAGTGGGTGGATGGCAAGTTGATCATGCTATACTGTATTAACTAAAAAGAATGGTATGGCAAATATATCAGCAGCACATTTCAGAGCTCAGAGGGCTGCAACAACTTTTGTGAGCAATTCCAACAACTCTGAAAAATCTGAAGTGAATCTGAAGGAAAATCTGAAGCCTTGCCAAAATTAAAAAAAAAAAAAAAAAAAAGGAGCAGGGTTATATTGCAGCTCCAGATTGACATCTGAATTAGTCTCCAATAATTTATGTATATTTTATAGACTATATACTTATTACTATATACTTATTACTATATATAAATATATGGTTTATGCTTATTTGTATCCCCCATTTGTTCCTTGAATAGGGCCCCCTCTTCCAGCCCTTTCTAACCCAGACAATGAGAAGCAGAAGGAGCCCAGGGCGGCCACTGAGCCTGGCTGATGCCCAAGCACCCACCTCTGCCCCCTCATCCGACAGAGCGGTGCTGAGGCGGGCGCTCTGCAGCAGCTCCAGGAGGTCATGGCTGGATTTTCTCTTCACCTCGGATGCGGGGCTGCCCACGACCTGGGCGTCCGGGTGGGTGATGGTCACCTCCGAGCGTGTCGCTCGCTGCGGCCCCCACGGCCAGTCCTCTCCTGCTGGCCTCACCAAGGCGCTTCTGCTTTTCAGGGACACCGCAGACCTGGAGAAGCTCTTGGGGGAGCAGCTCGACAACACCTGCGTACTGGAATAAGTCGTTTCTTCTTCTGTAAGAGTCTCTACCTCCAGCAAGTCCGGCACTGACACGCTGAGGCGTCTGTCCAAGGTGTGGACCTTCCTCTGCACCATTTTGCTAGACCTCTTCTTTGTCTTCTTCACGCTTAGGTTTTGCAGGAACGGTCTCGTTTTCTGCTTCAGGGATCCCCAGACGGATGGTTTATCCAAGTCCATTGCTGCAAGGGGAACCTCAGCAATGCCTCCTGCATGAAACGGCTTCAGCGATTCCCAGGGTGACTAAAAGGAACGTAGGAAGAAGGCAAGTCAGTCACGAAAGTGAACAGCCGCTGAAGATTATGATTCATGTTGTCTCATCTCGAAACTTTCATTTTTCTAAACAGTTAAAACAAAGCATGCCACATTAGCAACTGCTTCCAAATACAATCTGGTGGGTAGGTTTGATTATTTAGGAGGAAAACAGCCGGAACAAGTATTTAATCCTACACAAAAATGCAATGTCTGCCCACTCCTTTATGATTGCTGAGAGGAGACGTTATATTTCTTCCTCTGCCAAGTCCTGATTTGCAAAAACTTGAGATGGATCCAATTTGAAACTGTTTCTGTACAAAACTTACCGATGGGAGTTAAATCGCGATAATGCTAGCACATGAAAAACGCTGGCAATGCTGGCACCATAATTTCTGCTGATGCTCTTCGAGCCTACGTAGAGGTTTTTTTGGCTATTTCCTAGGCTACACGGATTCTTACACAAGGTGTTAGTAGACAAGCACAACACAAAAACCAGCTCCACAAACTAAGTGGCTGAGGTTGAAGAGGATGTATAGGGCATGAGAAATCTCAGATGGCACCCCAAAACATTCCCTTACATTAACCCACTGCCAGTGAAAGTCACTGCTCCAGAATTAATTTTCTTCATAAAGGCAGCAATTGAGAGAAAATGAGGACAAAAACGGGTGGATGGATCACTTACAGATTTTGAAAACCTTCTGGTGGACTCTTGTCTTTGGGCTGATTCATACTGAGCATTTATACAGTAGGGAGAGACAAGAAGAAAACAGCCAAACCAAAATCACCTACTGTATCTGCATCATAAGGGAGCGGCCGAACGGACACCTCTGTGCATGGGAATATCCTCACGGATGGAGTCTTTTGTGGTTAACAGCTGAGCAACCATCCTTGTTCTATGAAGCAGAGATAGTGAAATCATCATCAAAACTCATTGAGAAAAAAAAGCTGATGAAACCTGCAGATTTACTCCTTTACAGTCCCAAAGGCACGCACGCAGAGGTTACGGTATATACCCATGTCCTTAGAAATGTATACCATCAACTACCTGACTGCTGCTTCCAGAACTCGCAGCGTATTTACGTTCTAGCTGTTGCACAGTCGACCAAAGTGACTTATCCTGCTCTTTTCCTGATCGCCAGGGAAAACACCAGAACAGGGAATAGAAAGACAACCCTTGGATGAATCCAGATAGAGAAACCGCTGTCTGCTTTCAAAGAAATATACTCTTACATTCAGTAATTTGAATGAGGTTGTATAGCCAGTTACTTAATAACTTATTTAAATAATTTTATGACTAACCCCACCATACTTGCAGAGTGTTCAGGCATCTACAAAAAATGCTTTAGCTATATTACTATGTAACTAAAGCTGCACAATCCTCCCCTCATTTATATTGGGATATAAACGATTAATATCATCATTGCTATATTCCATACAAAAAATAGTAAACTTTAATGGCATTACATGCATTCACAAGGCAGTAATAAATTTTGCCCAAATAGGAAGGTGTGCTAGTATGGATATATCAGCTTAACACAGTATTTTCACCTCTCTCTCCAGAAGTCAGACCCAGTATCAAAATGCACATGGACAAAACTGAAATTATCTTTTCCCCTCATGGCATCACTGAGGAGCAACAAGAATCTTCTGAACCTCACAGAGGGAAATTTCGGGCACATGAAGGCATGGCGGGGCTTTCTTTTCTCACTGATCTCGGGGTGAAGTGCAAGCTGATCAGATTGACAAGGGGAGGAAAAAAGAAATAAATGCCAAACCTGATGCATTTGACCGGCGAGGCAGGTCAGCTGGCAGCTTTCACTTAGGCTCTTCCCTCTTTAAATAATAACTTGACAAAGCAGCCGCAGGCCTCCTCAGTAGCGTTACATCACATGCCAATAACTGAAATTATTAGGCTAAGCACATTTGCACGAAATATTATGAAACACTGCTGTTGGGACTCGTTGAAGCAACTCATCTACCGCCAGGGCGCTCTGCTTTGCTCGCTTACACACATATAAACCTGCTGAAGTAAAGGTATCGTAAATAACGACAGGACCCAGCTCACAACATTGACTTCCCAAGGCTCCGACTGCTTCCTATTCCCTTCCTGTTATTCTCCACCCCTCTCAATTTTGACAACCCACTGCTGTCGTTTTTATTTTGTTTGATTTGAGATTTTGTTTCCTAGCAGCGGACGTGTTCCTGGAGGTTTTTCCAGTTACTTTCCCCCAGTTGAATGTTTTGTTTCCAGTTACATTCCTTCAGTTGCTGAACAGAAACGCCCATTCAGCGAGGATGGCGCAGGGACCGTAGTGTATCTCTGAGACCCACTTGCATTTAACCCAGAACGAGCAGAGTCCTCAAGCCAGGCAGAATCACAGTGGAAGGAAAAAAAAAAAAAAAGAATAAATAAAAATTGAGGGAAAAGTTTCTGGGTTTTGGTCAAGACAGCAGGGATGGCTCCAGCTACCTGCCGCCTAGCAGCTCCCACGCTGGGGCAACACAGCGGTGATATTTGCTGCATCGGGAGCACCGGGTGCCTGAACTGAGGCCCCAGAAGAAACAAACCCATCCCTGGATTGCAAAGGTGTTTGGCCATATTCTGCCTCTGAACCTTTACACCCACACTCCTGCTGCAGCTATAACTCTTCTTTTATAAATATCATATTTACAAACAAATTAATCCAAGTGATGGCTATAATGGTTATAATATACAAACAAAAATAAATACGCAATCTGTTCTAATCCGAGAAAAGGGTAAATGCAGTCTGAAGGCCAAATGCACTCTGATATCAGCCATCCACAGACTGGCACTTTCTTCACTTTCCCAGTTCAAGCAGAAAAAAAAAAAAAAAAAAAAAAAAACAAACCAAACCAAAACCACATCACCACCATGACCAGGAATCTCTGCCCCAGAGAGGAAGATCGGGATGGGGACCACCCTCCCCTCCCCAGCACGGTGATGGAGCCAGGGGTGCCAGGCGTCCTGGGGTACCCCCATGCCACACCAGCACGTATGCACATGCACAACTACTTTCTTTCTTCCCACATCAATTTTTCTCTGCTTTTCTTTTCCATACAGACCAACATCAACAGAAACACATAATTTTCAAGAGAGAAAAATCCTTCCTTGCTTGTAAAAACTGTGTCCTTGATACCAACACGTTGTTCACGTACTCCTTATCCTCCACGGGCCAGAAGTTTTCCCTCTTCCTTCCACAGCTTCAGAAGAAGTTTGGTGCCAACCGCATCGCCAAATATTCCCTAAGCAACCACAGGGAAAAGTGTATGTTGCCAAATTCTTGGTCTAAGCTCGGCCTTTTTATTCTTTCCCTGCATCAACGGCACATTGTACCAAAAATCTGAAACAGTACTCATTCAAAGCAAAACATTTCCTGTTATCAATGTTAACTTGGATGTTTTTAATTTAATTGAATGGCTCCTTGTTCTTATGTAACAAGAAAAAAAATTAAAATCTCTTTTTAGCCTATCTTCTTCAGCCTTCTCTTTAATATGTTGCTAAATCTCAAAGGCTTAGAAGAATCCATATAGTTCCATCTCTTCCTTCCGAGAGACCACTTTTGATTGCACCTGTCATTTTTATTATATCCTTTTCTTTGGCTGTCTCCTCCTCTTTTGAGGGCAGTAGGGGCAAGAAGGAAAGGAATAGTGACAAGAAAGTTGGTCACAGCTCACCGTCTGACTGATGTAACGAATATTTCTAGCATTTTATCCTCCCTTAAGTATCTTCTAATTACAGTCCTTGAGATTTTTTTGGTTTTTTATGTGCTTTGGTTTCTCTCACTATAACACTCCCCACATACTCCCTTAAATTGTTATAATATTTAGAGCTAAACGATTTTTTTTTAGATGTTCTAGCAGGTGGCTATAAGAGGTATTTCAAATGCCACTGAAAGCCTGGAGAAATCATTCTGCAATTCTACTTCGCTTACTGTCTTGTCAGAAAGCCAGAAAAGCCACAAGTGAGAAATACTACAAGACACTCTGAAAACATTATAAAAGTGCCCAATAGAACTAAACTCACAAGCGAAACCAAACTGATTTACGTATTGGAAATTATGGAATTCTTTCTAAGCAACCATTCCCTGCACCCCCAGCCGCACACGATGCTCACTGAAGCACCCCTGAAACGATCCCCGCTAAACGCTTTTAGGAAGCATCCTCAAAGCCAGCAAGAAGATAAAAATGCAGCTGAACACCACGCCACCGCTATTACAACTTTCATAAATCTAGTAATCATCGCACTCAATTTGCTTATCCAATTAAGCTGGAAACGCCGGGTCAGTTTGCACGCCATCCATCTTCGTAACGCCTGATGCAGTCGGTATGTTTTCAGCTAGCACTAAATGCTAGCCGACATTTAAACCCATCATAGCTGAAAACACTAACGTGCATTAGAAGCTGTTAGGAAGATGTTCCTCACTTGCAGGCATCTTAACACAGGTTCAAACTGCAAGGAACTCCCTCACTGTAAAACCTCTGTTGATGCTGGCTGTTCTGGCATAGGATATTCATCCCAATCTCTGCCTGCCTGGCACAGATTCACCAGCTTAAAACCTAACACGTAAACCACTGTGCAAGTTACAAGCAAAGCTAATTACACTTCTGCTCTGCAGCACAGTATTTGGCTATTAAAGTTATAAGAAGAGTATAACCCCTTTAGATTTATAAATCCCGAACTCAGTGCGCTGAGGAACGAGGCTGGCGTCAAGGAGATAAGGGAGCAGGGAGGAAAAGGATTGGGATCCTCTTTTCAGACCCTCTTTTTAGCTTCTTGCTATAAATTCCATCCTCTGGCCCTAGGAACCATAAATTAATCTATTTCTCCCTGGGAGGAGAAAAAAAAAAATTTACCAGGAAAATAGCTCTCAGCTGGCTAAAGAACAACTATATGTGCTGGGTGGTTATTTCTATAACAGATCATGCTAAGTACTCCGGGCTCTTCTCCTCACTGTGTCTAGAACACA